TGTTTTATTTGTCACAGTTAAAGAAAGATATTTTTCAGATTAGCAGCATCTCAGAAGTTCACCAACATTTATAAAACTGAATTCCTCGAGGAAGTAATCAGCAGTGAGTCAGAATGGAGAATTCAAGAAAAGGTAAAACAAAATATTCAGAAAACAACGGTGTGCACTAAAACCAAAGATGCTTGGAATTAAATCTAACTATTTGGTGATAATAAGCAAACCAAAACCAAACGAATGGCTGTCGATTCTAATTCATGATGACCCCATGTGTGCAGAAAACTGTTCCCATAGGGTTTCAAAGGCTGTGACCCGGAAGCAGATTGCCAGACCTTTCTTCCAAAGCATCTCTGGGTGGTTTGAATCACCACCCTTTCAGTCACTAGTGACTGAAAGTTCTTACCAGTTTGTCCCACCCAGGGATGCTGTTCTAGCACTTTGTTGCTATCAAATTGAATCTCACCCCTAGCCACCCTCTAGGACAGAGTAGAACTGCCTCATAGGGTTTCCTAGGCTATAATCTTTACAGGAGCAGACTGCCAGGCCTTTTCTCCTGCAGAGCAATTGGTGAGGATCAGAAAATCCGTTCCAGATGCAGTATAATTTACGCTCTAGATTGACTCACTAATCAGTCAAAGTAATACCCATCAACTCCTACCAACAAAATAGACAAGAACTTGCTCTATCACCCATGTATCTCCTTTCCCCCACATTTTTTTTCATCATGTCTATATTGTCAGGGCACGTATGTTTAGAATTCTAATTGCTCACACTAATCCCGCCTTTTATTTCAGTCACTGACCTTTTTGCTAAAATTTTCCAGTCCTGCCTTGGTTTGCTGATGCTTGTCCTCTAGTCATTCCTCAAAGACTCTTAGGAACAACATTCCTGGAACTTTGATGTTCAAAATTATTTCTCTGTGTTCTTTCTACTTGAAAAGATATTTGTAGTTACTTCTCCACTTCCCTGTGTCGTTGAATGTCGCTGTGGAAAATTCTACAGTCACTAAGATTCCCCTCCGGTGAACATGACTTGATCCTTTTGCCTTGGCTGCGCATTTGATTCTGTCTCCTTGAAGTCCCGTAACGCTGTGGGAATGTAGTTCAATGGCTGACTCCTTAGAGTCAGTTTTCTCTGTTACAAGGTGAAATCGACTTACTTATGGTAGATGTACATTGAAGCAATAATTTTTTATTTTTTTTCTTTATGAACTCCAATGATTTTTCTCACTAAATTCCATGGATTATTTCCTCTCTAATCTTTCTCAATTATTCTTAAACTTCCTTGTTTGCTTTTCTTATTTCTCTGACCTATGTCCTTTAATTTCTGAAATGTCTAATCTCCTTTATTCTTCTAAATTTGTCGTCCTTTCTTTGCAGGTTTTCTTTTGTGCTACTTCTTTCTTAAATTCTGGCTGGTATAAACATAGGCTATAGCTTTCACTTTTCAAGGCAAGCCTCTGAATTCCAGGAACTGTACTTTGCTAGTGACTTCTGAAGGATCTCTGGTGACGTAGTGGGTAAGGCATTTGGCTATTAACCAGAAAGTCAGCAGTTCAAACCCTCCAGCCACTCTGTGGAAGGAAGACAGGGCAGTCTACTTCTGTAAAGAGTTCCAGCTTCAGAAAACCAAAGGGAATCAGACTCAACTCGATGACAGTGGGTTTGGCTTTGTTTGAATGACTTCTGAGCTCTAGTGTCACTTACCCCCTTGACACTCCCCTTCCTTTGCTTGATTTCAGCTGCTTTTTAAATGTCCTTGACTGGGAATGGGAAAGCCTCCTGTAAATATGTGAAGGCATACTGAAAATGACTGGCTCTGTTGTCAGTGTGATGACAGACAAGATGGTGTGTTGATAGCTTGGAATTTAGCTCCACAAAATAAATTCTGGAAGATCGTTGTTGTCATTATTTGCCATCAGTTCCAACTCACGGCGACTCCATGTGTTACAGAGTAGAACTCCTCCACAGGGCTTTCTTCGCTATAATCTTAATGAAAGCAAATTGCCAGGACTTTTCTTCTGAGGTCCCTCTGGCAGGGTTTGAACTGCCAGCCTTTAGGTTAGCAGTTGCACACAAACCATTAGCTCTACCCAGGGACCTTTCTCGAACATTGCTGGCACCTCTGGCATATAGTTTATAAATCTTTACTGATAGTTCTAAAGGGCTGTTTTTTGTTCTTTGCTTGAAGGAGGAAAAAGAAGAGATTTACAGAAAGTAACCGGTCTCCATAAAGGTAAGCAAGAAATGTGAGGATTCACTCCTTTAAACTCACTATGGCCCTGATCTTCAACCAGATGCTATTTTTGCTGCAGCCCCACAATCTTCTATGGGCTATAAAAGCTTCATAACTAATGGATGATTTAGAGGCTAAGCCATTGCAACAAAAAGACCCAACAGGACAGTGGTTTAAACCAAGTAATTTATCTTTCTTCTAACAGCCTAATGTAGTAGGAAGAATCTGCCTTCTTTAAAACTTGGCTTCCATCTCTGTGTGTGCGGTAGTTAGGTTGTGTGTCTACTTGGCTGGGCCTCGTTTTGAGTGGCTGGGCAGCTGGATGTAGTTATTCCCCACAACGAGACTGGTAATCAACTCTGTGATGGAATCTACTGTGAACAGCCTTAGGGATGTGGTCAGCTTCCAGCATATAAGAAAAAGCTTTGAGGAAGGTCTCAAGCTTTTGGCATATCTGGAGCCTGCATTTGGCCAAGTCTTTATCTCAGTGGTCTGCTATGTTCTCTGCTGAGCTTGGGACTGTTGATGGACTTGAATTACTGGCCTGCTGTGTTGCTTGATAATTTTGGGACTGTGCCATTTTACTTGTTGACCCTGGGTTTGTCAGCCTCAGCAACCAGCAGCTGTCTGAGTTATGAGAAGCTCCAGTGGCCCAGGAGCAAGAGGCAGAGCTGAAGCCCAAAGACAAGGGGCTTTCACCCAGCTGCTAGAGCTGGCGCTTTGAACTTGGACTTCTAGCCTCCTAACCTTTAAGAGAATAAACCCGTTTGTTAAGACCAGCCACTTGTGGTATTTTCTGTTACGGCAGCCCAAGAGAACCAACACAAGGTCCAAGGAGGTCAGTCTGGTTCTCCTTGTCTCCCAACCAATGGGAGTGGGCAAAGTGGACAGAGGGCTCATCTAGCCATTTATTTTAGTAGAAAGACCTAGAAGCTCACATCCCATTGGCCAAAACGTAAACTTTTGTCCAGACCTAGGTGGACAAGACCTTTGATCACTTTCACTACCATGTTCAGCCCAAAAGCCTTCACTGCGGGCTCAGAAGATGTCACATGTCGCATCTGTGTAGACATCATCAAGTCCATCAAGTCTTCTTGGGCAATCCAAGTTCTTACAATGCTGCCATTTATTGCTGCATCTCGACCAAAGGAAATCTTCAATCCTTCACTTAATTTTGTAATTTTTGTCTAAATTTTCTCCATTTGCTTCAGCTTTTTCTTTGTAAATAGCAAAAGTCTTTTATCTCATCAATAAGTAGAGGAAAGGTCTTGAAATAATGTCTTGTTGTTGTTGTTGTTGTTTGCCATCAAGTCGGCCCCGACTCATAGCGACCCCTCCTTGGGTTTCCGAGGCAGTATCACTACGGAAGTAGGATTGCCCAACCTTCCTTCCGAGGAGTGGCTGGTGGGTTTGAACCACCAGCCTTCTGGTGAGCAGTCAAGTGCCTTAGGCACTATGCTACCAGAGCTCCTTGAAATAATGTCTAGCATTTAATAATACTTAGCAAGTGTTAGCTCTCATCATTATTACTTTCATAGTGTTCCTGGGGATAGAAATGAAATTGTCTTACATTCTTTCTTTGGATTAATGTCAGGCTATAACAAAATTAAATTTAGGATGAACCTAGGTTAACTGTAAAAGGTTTAGAATCACAGTGCTGTGGATTATATATTTTTCCTTACGCAGTGCACTCTTGAAAAGTTCGATTTAAATGGAACTTTTGAAAGCATTGTTATATGCAGCGCAACTTTTTGGCAGCATTTGTTTTCATGTGTTTCTATTTTCTCAGAGAGAATGAGAGGCAGACCTAGAAATCACTCAGCTCCAAGAAGCCAAAAGCCGAAAAGAGGCCGACCAAGAGGTAAAGAAGAAAATATGAATATGCTTTCAATATCGAAACATTTAAATGTTCCTGCTCTATTCAGTGTTTTAGTAATAAACCTATTTCCCTGATCACTTTACGGAGATATACTAGCTATTGAGAAATCTATCAGATTCCGACAATTTCCAAAACGTGTCAGAGAGAGAAAGATGATAGTAGCACCAACAAGGAATGTGGTGATGGATCTGCAGCCAGGCCCCGGTGTCCAGGGGTCAGGGAAGGGCTGCCTCCGTTGCACCCATAGCTTTCCAGGCAGGAAACAGTCATAACCAATGTAAACCTCATAACATACGAGGTATTTACCTCCCTCTTGCCCACCGCCCAGTGGTGATGATGTGGACTTGGCCATGTTGCTTCTTCACCTTCTGCCTCAGTGTACTCACTGTGTTATTAATGAGTCGATTCCAACTCACAGTGACTCCATGCAACAGAAAAGAGCTTCTCCATAGAGTTTTCTTGGCTGTAATCTTTACAGAAGTAGATTGCCTGATCTGTCTTCCCCAGAGCTGCTGAGTGGATCCAAACTACCAGCCTTTGGGTTAGCAGCTGATTACAAATCACCTATACCCCCTAAGCTCCTTATCACTCATGTGTGAAGTGAAGTGATGTAGACTGACTGCCCTGGGAGGCCCATCCCAGCATCCACTCAGGGTCTGCCCCTGGACTCGGAAGGTCCTGCACAGTCTCCTGCCTGTTGAACAGGGAGCCCCTGTGGAGTGTTTTAATGGATTCGCCAACGTTGCTGGCTAGAAAAGCAGGAACAGCAGGTCATTTAGTGAAATTCTTTTAAAACGACTTTTTATGCCTGTTTCTATGGAATAAGCTCCTCAGTCCCCGGCACGGAGAGTCTGAGGTGCAAAGGCTCCCCCCCTGGTGATGATCCTAGATTGGCCATGAGCCCCACTTTTGCCCAGAAGAAGGCTGCTGCGGAGGAAAACTGCAGCAAGCAAGTGAGCAGGGGAGCAGAGGCCATCTCCTGTTGGGTGGCCCCCTGTGACCCAACCCCTCTGTCAGCCAGTCCTGGGCTCAAGTTTATAGACCAATGTGCCAAAGCATAGAAAAAATTAGTCTAAGACTTTGGCCACAAAACTGCAAAGAAATTATTTTCTAGAATCTCTTAGTACAGAGGGAGCAGTGTGTTTTGGCCATCCTTCACTGGTAGACAGTGGCCAACTTGCCTGGTAATGAAGACATTGGATAGTCCTGCCGGAAGGTCCACACCTCTGCCGTGGTTACCTCAACGTTCCATGGGGTCCTCTTCACGGCGTACTTCTGAAGGAGCATCTAATCCAGCTCCCATCCACGGGGTCCCCCCATCCAGGCCAAGGAATCATGCTGCTTCATTGATTCCCCAACTCCACCCTTCCTGCCCCCACAGACCCCTCTAACCATGACTTTCACCTTCATACTTCTCAAGGGTGAATCTGATAGTCTCTCTTTCTCTGCCATTCCCGAGGACAGAGGTCCTTCTCCTGGGTGGATCTCTTAAAGCCTTCCCACTTGAGAGAAAGGTTCTGATAATTCTCTCCAATGAAACGTAGCCTCGTTCATAAAGCCTGGAGGTAGGGAGGGCTCATGCTGGTGGAACCATCCTCACTATCCCCCACCATGTTGGTGTGCAGCAGGGCTAGCACCTTGCTTTTAGGATCTAGGAACACCAGGCTCCCGTTGCATTGTTCTTGGACACTGGGGCTTCCGCTGACACTCTGAGGCAACAGAAGAGTCAAACATCTGATACACCTTTTTTCACCCAGAATTATTTGTCCCAACTATAAGCAAAAATATTTCCATAACTTTAAAGTGTTTTCTGACCGTGTTATTATGTACTAGGACTGAAGGTCAGGCTTTAGTATTATCAGGTGGACAGACATTAAGGCTGGTGAAGGTCCCTGGGTGGCACAAAGAGTTTGCACTAAGTAGTGACCTAAGGGTTGGCAGTTTGAACCCACCGTACGGCTGCAGAAGAAAGGCCTGGGGATAGGCTTCCCTAAAGATTACAACCATGAAACCCTACGGAGCAGTTCTACTCTGACACCCAGTGGGTCACCAGGAGTTGAAATCAACTCAGTGACAATGGATTTAGGATTTTGGGTTTTAAGGCTAGTGGACCCAAGAATAGTTAACTCCTACTTTGTCCAGACATTTTACTTCCTGGACTTCCTGGACGCTGACCCCAGAGGTGCTGCAGCACGCAGCATACAAAGAACCATTGTAAAGGAAAGCTTAGCAGCAGTGTATTACAGATGGTCTGCTCTTCAGCCCAAATTTGGCCTTGCTAACAGCTGGGTTGAGGACAGTGAATACTGTTTTCTTTCCTTGAAGTCATTTGCCCTCAGTAGACTTGATGGAAGGTGAGTCTAACTCACCCACTAGTCTCAGAAGAATTTCAACAGAGAGCAGTGGAAAGCAAGAGAATGTGTGTGTGTCAGTAATGGCCATTGCTGAACAGACCGAGTATGGTCAGGGCTGGACTCTGGTTTGACCTCCTTATGGGAGAGGACAGAGCAGACAGAGCAGGATGCCTGCATGTCCTTTCGTGGACAGGGGCCTGACCCTGTCCACAGGGAAGAGAGGGTCAGAGTTGGCCAGTTTTCTGGGCACACTTATAACAGCAGCATCATAAGTGATAGGAGAGGACAGTCCCACAGAGAGCCACACCTGTATGGATAGCCTCTTAGTCCTGGAAGCCACACCCACTACCACACCTGGCCCAATCATGTTCTAGAAAATGCTCAATCTGTGGCAACTAGTCTCTGAGAGATGAGCAAGGAGTATTAATACTTTATCTACTTCCTTAAGGTCTACATTTTTCCCATTTTACTTGTTTCTCTCAAGCCTGTAGTATCAACAGTCAAGCCCGTGATTCCTTTATGTGCCTTTGGCAATCTCACCTCCCAATGTACCTCCAAACTATTGAGATAAACCTTCTCAAGGGAATACCTTGCAGGGTAGAACACGCTTACTTTTGGAATACAATTCCTCTTGTCGTCAATATATGTCTCATGGGGCCATTTTGATCTTGAAGAGGTTAAAAGAAAATTCTCAGAGTAATCACTATGCAATGGCCATACAAATGGTTAACACACTCAACTTCTAACTGATAGGCTGGAGGCTTGAGTCCACTCAGAGGTGCTTTGGAAGAAAGACCTGTCACTCTGCTTCCAAAATATCAGCCATGAAAAACCGATGGAGCACTCTGACACAGATGGGCTCGTCATGAGCCAGAGTCAAAACTTAGCGGCAACTGGACTGGTTTAAGACCTCTTTGCATTTGCTGGAAGGAAAGATTCCCTTCCAGCCTAATCTGGTCATAATCTTCTCAAAGGAAATGTCACTCATGAATGAGTGTCTGAAGATTTCCTTTTCAACCTGCTCTCCTCAAGGCAGCTCCCCTGATGTCAACCATGGGCACAGAATGATGGACATAGGACTTTACAAGGAAAGGGCACACACTTGGTCCTGACTTCAAAAGCCAAGCGTGTTTGAGTGATGAACAACCTCAACATGCACAAGGATGTGACTCTTTCTTCTTTTGGACATACTTAATCAACACATAAGGAGTTCTGGTTGTGCAATGGTTTAAACACTCAGCTGCTAACCAAAAGTTTGGCAGTTCGAAATCCCCAGCTGTTCCGCAGAAGAAAGATGAGGCAGTCTGGTTCCATAAGGATTTACTGGGCTGGAAACCCTACGGGGCAGTTCTACTCTGTCCTATAGGGTTGCTATGAGTTGAAATCAACTAATAGCAGTGGGGTTGGGCTTTTCATCAACACATAAAATCTCTTACAATATTCCTTAAGTCAATTCTTTTGTGTAGTCTCTAACTCTACAGCTTTCAGTCTTTGGCCTCAATTTCTATAAATTCCCCTTGGGTGGTCTTCATTGCATTAGTGTTAAAGTCCTTGATCATTTTCTCCGTGATTTCAGCCCAACAAATTTGCATTCAAGTCTGTTTGTGGCAGCTGTGTGAGCTGGAGAGCCCATCCTCAGATCCGCCTTGGGACCTTATATTACTGCCATCGGTATCTGTCTTTTCACCAAAGGAGAACTTTATCAAATTTGTGTTTTCATCTCAGAGCATGTTTCCTCTAGTGTAAAATGAGGATAATATTAGCACCTGTTTGATAGATTTCTTTCCTAATGATAAAGTAAGTTAATAGAGACAAAAGTCTAAGAATAGTTCCTAGTACACAGTAAGCCCTCAATAATATGTTCAATTTCATTATGATTCTCACCTTGTTGCTTGGGAAATAGGTAAAACACTGCTTTAAATTTACTTGGAGTATTAGTAAAAGAAAGATAGGATGCATCTCGGTTAAGAATCAGCTTTGTAACTGAGTCTAGGCCGGAAGTCAGCAAACTATTTACTGCAGGCCAAACCCAGCCTGCTGACTGGTTTGCAATAAAGTTTTATTGGAAGACGGCCCCCTCTGTTCATTTAGAGATTGTCTGTGGTTGTTTTCACGCTACAGCAGCAGAACTGAGTAGTTATAACAGAGACTATGGCCCACAAAACTGATTTACCGAAAAGGACCAGACAGTAAATATCTAGGCATCTGATCTCTTCCTTTATGTATTAGACCAGGTCCTGAAAAGTTACATTTGAATGATATTTTTGTAAAATACTGTTAAGCAATGTTATAAGCAAGGAAACTCTGTGTTATTTTTCTGCTTTCTCAGGAAAAAAGACAGTCAACCTTGGACCTTTGAAAAGAAGGCGAAAAAGAGGTTAAAAGAAGTCATTAATATACTTTTAACAATTAAGCATCTAAATTCTCATCCTGTAGGCTGGGTTCTGACTGATAAATCTGTTTCCTTTGTTGCCATCCATGGGTACCACGGGTCCCAAGGGTCAGCCTCAAGGAACTCTGACTACAGGGCAGAAGGGATAGCACCCACCCCAGATTTGTTGGTTGATATTTTGGGAGACCCCAGGCCTCCTTGGGCCTGTACAGTGCTCCCTTAACTGAACTGATAGCTGTTGAGGAGAGAAATTTAAAGAAAAACGTATCAAGTGGATCATTCACACAACACTTAGCTGACCCTTCTCTTACCACAGGTTCTCCTGGGGGAGGTTTGGGGAGAGGGGCGCGGTCCTGGGTCATAATACAAGACCTGTGTTCTCATTCTTATACCTCCTTGGACTGTGTGACTTCAGTCTGTCATTTGACCTTTTATGCCTCATTCCATCTCTCCATCCGTAAAGGGATAGACTGACTGCCCTGCCTGGCCCACCCCAGCTCTAATGTCCTATTCTAAGCTGGACTCTGGAAGGACCATGGACCACCCGTCCTCCCCATCCCAGAGCAAACAGGGAGTATGGATCTAGCATGGCCCATGGATGCTGTGGATCTCCCTCAGCGTTGGCTCCTGCTGCTGACGTCCACCTTAAGATCATCAATACCTGCTTCGGTATTGGCCCCCACTCAAAGGCTGTGCAGAAGCCCTCACCCTGAGCAATTTTCAGTTTCTCCTGGAGGCCCTCTGAGCCTCCCTTTTGCTGAAAGAGAAAGTCTACATGAAGGAGAGAAGAAGGGGAGCAGAGTGGAGAGCAAGGTGGGAAGGCAGACACTACTGGCCCCGTCAGGCGCCCACTGCCAGCCTACGTGCCACTCCCCCAGTAAATGCCTCGATGAGAAGATAAGACTCAAGTCCAAGATTTTATTCTTCATCCCCATGCTGTAAAACAATAGGACGCCTAGAAATTCCCTTCAAAACATCAGGAGGAACGTCATTGTGGAAGTGGTGGTGATGGCCAACTACTTTGGGAAGCAGTTGCTTCCACAGAGGTTTTTGTATAGCATCTACAGGGTAAGAGTGGAGAAAACCATCATATGCATCTAATCTGCCATAAAAAAAAAAAAAAAAAAGATTTTGAGGTGTAACTAATTCATGGGCTAAATCACCCCAATACATTTTAAATTATAGGAGAAGGGTCTCAAAATGTCTGGGGAGAGACAAGGCATGGTTATAGGAGATACATTGGAAATATGTTCTCTTTCAGGCCCAAGAATTCCCAGAGACAAAAGTATGGATTTTCTGTCTCCTGAACTTACTGTGACCTGTGGTCAGATGAAGGGGATTCTATATAAGGAGAAGCTGAAACAAGGTGGGCTTCTCCGTCTTCCATTCTTTTTGACTGGGAAAAAATAAAGTCATGTCAATCGCATATTGTTTGGGGAGCAGGTACTTTTATCAGGGGTGCCCATAATCCTCTCAGGTGAGTGACTCACCTGGAGGCCTTATGGGACCCAGCATGCATCGCACTCATGGCCATGATTTATTAAGGTTAAAGGATGCAAAGCAAGATTAGCAGAGCGAAAAGGAGGAGGGGGTAAAGTTCAGAGGAGCCAGGCATACAAACTTCCAAGAGTCCT